TGTGGAGATGAAGAATACTCTGCTATTCTGGGTCCTGTAGCGACTGCCATCCACAGTCGAAAGCCATTCCCAAGCAGAATGGTTTTCAGGGAGTTGTGCGCCTTTCACCTTGTCTCCAGGAGTGTGATTTTCTAAAGGATGAAGAAAGGTAGGATCCTGAAGAAAATTTTCATGGGTGAAGGTCAGGCTGAAGCAGAGGAGGGGAGAGGACTAAGGATGGAGCGGCTCCCACCTCTGAGGGAAATCCACCCCCCACTAGAAGGAAGCCCTGTGGTGTGGTCAAAGCTGGGAGGAAGAAGGAGGATCTCGAAAAAAAAATTCAGGCAGAAAAGTTTACGTGGACCCAGAGCAGCAAACCCAAGGTCTACACAGCTACTGTGAAACAGTACATGGTCAGGACCTCTACTGACCTCTCGGCTACTCCAGAGTAGTTCAGTAATTAGACACACCCCAAACATGTTTAGCATCACACCACCCGCTGCTTCTCATGGTCAGCATTATTTGTCATAAAATTTGATCCCAGTGTTTGCTGTATTATTAGATATCCTATGAAACAGAATCTAATAGTATACTTCTTTCTTTCTCTAAATGAGTCCTAACCTTGCAACTGGGGTTGCAACTATAACATTGTTGCCTTTTTTTCCCACTTTCAAGGATTAGGTAATAATACTAAACTCCCTATCTCATGCTACTCTCTGCTATTTGCACTTGGCTTGGTGCTTGAAGAATGTATTTCTAAATTAAAGCTGTGCTACTTTTTATCTCATGCAATTATCCCACACAGTTATGGGTTTATAGATTTGCCGTATCTCCGAATGTTTTCTGTCAAGCTGAACACATCCAGTCACTACCAATTGAAGTTCCTCAGCTGAAATTATTTTCATCTCTGAGAATTTCTTCAGAGCTGTTTCTGTTATGGAGGATAAAAGGGATAAAGGATTCATAGTTGCCCAGAGTCCGTGCCTCTTTAAATACAGGCCTTGCATCCAGAGTTTGATTTCTTCCTTTTATGGGGGAGAAGTCCTGCTGTCTAGGATGGAAGAATTTAGGGAGTAGTTGAGGTAGCAGGTTTGCCTGGGCTGGTGTTCTGCTCTTGTGTGGCTGCTGAGGACCTTCTGGCACGTTCTAAGAAAGCCAATTAAAGCAGAAAAGGCCCTTAGAACCAAATCTATTGCCCCCAATATAGCTGTTAAACTTATAACTTTTCGGTGAGCTGCTGGTGCTTCTTGTGCCCCTACAGCAGCCCATCTATGCTGCCTTATGCTTTTCTGTAGCCTTCTTGAAAACCCTTGTTAAATTTAGTTTAGTGAAATGTATTCACCAGAAACAAAAACCACTGGAGTATTGACTGCAAAATCAGTTCACAGAGTGAAACACACATTTCTATATCTTCATATTCTTCTAAGCACCTATTCAAATACACAATTGTTTCCAGGGTCTATGACCACACAACGTTTTGTCTGTGAAGGGTAGATAGTTTAAGAAATTTATTTCTGTTTGATTTCAAATAGAAAAGAGACAGCATTTTTTTTTTCAGAAAGGTACATTGCCTCTGACTCTTAAAATAGATTTTCTTCTTGTTCTCACTTTGTAACTGCTATACGTACGCTATTTGTTTTAATTCTCTAGAAAGAGTTAAACGTCTTAAGGATGTTAACCCCAAATGGAAATAATTGGTCCCTAAACTAAACTTGCTCTTTATGCGAAATATAAGACTCTAAGGGACTCTAGCCTTTTAGAATCATCTCAGAATTTGCCCAGGAAGTATGACATTGGCAGAAAGGGGATATAGGTGCCTTTTCCCATGTTTATATGGACATGGATTCTGGGTTTTACCAATAGAGAAATACGGTACAAGTCCATGGAGATAGTGGAGTGAAATGTAGAGAGAGAAGGAGAAAGATCTTTTTGTATTTTAAAATGAAATAGTTTAACCAAGTCAGAGAAAAGAGAGTATAAAGGTAAAGCTATTTTGACATTGTTTGCTCTCTTTAGTTCTCTGTATGGGGCATCTCAGAGAGAGAACACAGTTTCACAGCATGGATGGAAAGTGTAGGAAACATTTTTAATCTAGAATAGCCAGAACAACCTTGAAAAAGAAGAAAGTTAGAGACTCATATTTCCCATTTCAAAACTTACTACAAAGCTACAGTAATCAAGATAGCGTATTGGGTTGGCCAGAAGGGTCGGTTGGTTTTTTCCATAAGATGGCTCTAGTAGCGCTTAGTTGTCTTTAACTTCATTCGAAACAATTTTGTTAGATTGTATTGTGACAGCTGTCATATCAGCGTGCATTTAAAAAAAACTTATCAGAATTGGTGAACTTTTGTGTAGCCATTTTAATAGTGAAGGTGGAAGGAAAAAGCAACATTTTCAGCATATTATGCTTTATTATTTCAAGGAAGGTAAAAACGCAAAAAAAGATTTGTGCGGTGTGTAGAGAAGGTGCTGTGACTGATCGAACGTGTCAAAAGTGGTTTGTGAAGTTTCATGCTGGAGATTTCTCTCTGGACCATGCTCCATGGTCGGGTAGAACAGCTGAAGTTGATAGCCATCAAATCAAAACAATAACTGAGAACAATCAACGTTATACCATGTGAAAGATAGCCGACATCCTCAAAATATCCAAATCAAATGCTGAAAATCATTTGCACCAACTTGGTTATGTTAATCGCTTTGATGTTTGGACTCCACATAAGTTAAGGGGAAAAAACCTTCTTGACCATATTTCCGCATGCGATTCTCTATTTAAACGTAATGAAAACGTTCCATTTTTAAAACAAATTGTGGTGGGCGATAAAAAGTGGATACTGTACAATAATGTGGAATGGAAGAGATCGTGGGGCAAGTGAAATGAACCACCACCAACCACACCAAAGGCTGGTCTTCATCCAAAGAAGGTGATGTTGTGTACATGGTGGGATTGGTGTTCTCCTTCCAGAAAACCAAACGATTAATTCCAACAAATACTGCTCCCAGTTAGACCAACTGAGAGCAGCACTCGACAAAAAGTGTCTGGAATTAGTCACCAGAAAACGCATAATCTTCCGTCAGGATAACGCAAGACTGCATGTTTCTTTGATGACCAGGCAAAAACTGTTACAGCTTGGCTGGGAAGTTCTTAATGGAAAAAATTTCAATTCCCTGGAAGACTGTAAAAGGCACCTGGAACAGTTCTTTGCTCAAAAAGATAAAAAGTTTTGGGAAGATGGAATTGTGAAGTTGCCTGAAAAATGGCAGAAGATAGGGGAACAAAACGGTGAATATGTTGTTCAATAAAGTTCATGGTGAAAATGAAAAATGTCTTTTATTTTTACTTAAAAACTGAAGGCACTTTTTGGCCAACCCAATAGTACGGGCATAGGATAAACATGTGGACCAATGGAATCCAAAGAGTCCAGAAAAAAACCCATACATCTATGGCCAGTTGTTTTTCAACCCATGTGTCAAGACTACTCAATGGGGGAAAAATAGTTTTTTCAACGAACTGTTGCAACAAACTATTGCTTATAAACTAAGTGCTTATCCACTTGAAGCCAATGAGTCTTACCCAGAGTGAGCCATCATCTTGCAAGAATCTGGGAGGGGAGTGCTCCCGTGGAGAAGACGACTCCTCCCAGAGTGGGACTGGAGAGGGGAATAGGCCTCCCCTACCTCCCCCACACCATCCCCTTTCTCAGTAACTTGCTATGGTACTTGAAATTCCACCAGCAGCCAATTCCCTGGGTTAATGAAGGGCTCACAAGTAGAAAGGCCTGTGAGAGCCAGAGGGTGCTGGGAGAGAGCGAGATGGGTGGGCTGGCAAGCTGGGAAGCACATCCCACATGAGAGTGCTCAGGACAGAAGCTGCAGGAGCTGTGTACATGAAAGAGCTTGAGATCTTGGAGTCAAGCAACAAGTGGCTTCTCGGCCCAGTCTACGAGATTTGGAGCGTGGGCCACGCTAGCCTCCCTGATCCGTGGACTAGCTCTGGCATCCCGGGGGCTCAGAGATGTCACTGCAGAGGCGAGCCAGGCCTTGCAGGGTGGGCTCTCTTCATGAGCATCAGCACCTCACAGTGGCCTGAGACTTGAGCCAGTGAGTGAGGGTGGGCTTGTTCCTGAGCCATGGGGCTCTGCCACCCCAGCACCCTTTGGTTAACCTTTTAGGAGGTGATGGCCAAAGTTCCATATGGGGGCTAAGAGCCATCATAACTTGGGCCATAATACTGCACTCAAGGGCCAGCAAGGCTGGGGTAACTTAGGATTCATTTCTAAAACAATATTGTCTGTTCCGCAGCACATAGAATATTTTATAATCCAAATGGGCCGATGGCCTCTTGGCTTGCATTAGTGCAATGCTATTATCTCAATAAGTGTAAATCTCCACTCTGTTTGTTTTGGACAAGTTTTGGGGCCTCAGATTGCTGTTCTTTGGTCTTGCTCTGAGCTTTGCTAGGAACATACAAATGTGCAGACGACAAGAACAGATGTCAGAGCCCCTAGAAGATCAAAGTGTCGGCGCTGCCTTAGAAAATCTGCCTAGGCCACGTAATTCTCTGAATCTGCAGGAAGACTGTCATAAATATTCAATACAGATCTGCTCAATTGAATCAACTCTAAAGCAGGCCTGTTCTTCACCACTCTTCACTGAGGCTGGTGCATCGGCGGTCGTGACTGAAAGCCAGTCGTGGGGTGGGACTCCTGGCAACATTTGTCACTGCTGGCGCCCTTCCCCCTAGCATTTGTCCCTTTCCCCAATATCCTAATTAATTTGGTGCAAAGAAAATTTTCTCTCTCCTGCACTAAAATTACCCTAAAATTGTTTTCGTGGTTGTTTGTCTTTTCAAAATGGAAAATAAGAACATACTGTTTCTAGTGTTGTGGACAGTGATTCCAGACAAGGGGAAACCAGAAGGGTTTTATGACTCAGGAAAAGAGAGTTCCCAGAGGGGCCCAAGCTGTTTTTCTTATGTCTTTCCCTATTGCTATTCTCTAAATCTCTTTTTGATTATTTTTCAGAGTTTCTCAACTTGCCACTCCACACGCCAGCCCTCTTTTCTGCCGTCCACTGCTTCACCAGGTTTCAGGTACAGATTTCTGCCAGGGCTTCTCTCTCACATTTATGCAAAAGCTCAAAATTATTATTGTTTTGGATAAAGATGAGCAGAATGCCAGTAGGATGATTTAGAAAAAGAGAAGCTCCCCCGCATGCCCACTCCTGACTGTGTTGACTCCTTCTTATGGGAGCATGCTTAATTGACGCTGCATTGTTTGCAAGGTTCCATTCAACTGGCTGACTCCGTTATCTTTTAAATTGTGTACTTTTCTACAAAGACGTTTCACTAGTACAGCTGGATAAAACAAATGTCAAATGGAAAAAAAATCAAAAGTTGATATTTTTAAGACCTATCCTTAACCTCATTAAGGTTATCTATGCCAAAACCAGCATCTGGTAGTAAAATCTTTTTCAAACATTGTTTTCTCCAAAGAACCATCCAAAAGTTGCTACTGTGTGAAAGCTCTTTAGCCATTTATACGTTGTGGCTTTTAACAGCCACGTCTCCCTGGCTGACTTTTCCTGGTCAAGGTTATCACCCAGGACTCAATAGACACAGAGTTCTGACGAGATCATGACGTGCAGTCTAAGAAATTACCTGCCACCGAGGATGATAATTGACAAGAGTCTCGCCTTTTGCCATATGGCATGAGCTATCTCTGTCCCCAAATATGCAACTCTCATGGTGTGACAAATTGTTTGTGGGACAACACATGTTATAGCTCAGACAGTTAGACAAAACACCCCATTGGGTGTTGAAACCACAGCCTAGGCCCTTGAATAAGAAACATGCAAAATCACACCTGCTGGCCAGCATTGCCCCTTGTGTTTTCCTCCTCTCTCTTTTTCCTTTCCAACAAAGAACATTAAATGTCAAATGAATTTAATGTTGAGAAAAGGACCCAGGGTTAGGTTCCCACATAAACTTCATTCCATCAGTATTTTAGGTGGCCTAACTATGGATAGCTTGAGTAGTGTGGCTGAGGTCACGCTGTTTGTGATCTGGAGTTTAAAGCCTGATGTTTGATTGATGCCAGACAGATGTGACATAGATGGCTGACAACACAACAGATCTAGTCTCAACGGTTATCTGTGGTTTAGGCCTGGTTATCTTTTAAAGATTGACATATTCCAGCAAAGAACTCTTTTGCCACAGTTATATTCTCATGTGTATGGCCGTTAACACCCAATATTGATGAGAGGATTCATTTGGCTGATCTATTCTGATATGAGAAAGACTTAAGTCTTAAATTTCAAAAACTTCTCTTTACAAGAGAGAGTTTCTCCTGGTGACTTAGCAAGATGAGAATGTTGTGCTGTCTTTAGTAAAATTTGTGGTATTTGTGTCTGTTGGGTGTTAGTGTATATTATGTGCATTGAAAGCACGAGTGCCTTCTCTATTTTAAGCTATGAGCAAGGGACTGCAATTTTATAAGCCATATGTATATACAATATATAGTATATATAATAATATAAAATGTATTTATAATATACATATAACAAAGTATATATGCAACTTTGCTAATTTTCTTGTTGTTTTCACTGGGAGCACTGTGAGTTTCCATAGAAACATGCTTGTGATAAAGTTTATAACCGTTTGCAGTTTCAGAATTGTGCCAAACCAAAAGCCTCTTTTCTGGAGCTTTTGGTAGACCCACAGCATGAAATGGGTGCTTGACACGTGTTTTCTTGAGTTCTGTTGTCATCACTGAATCAAATGCAACCTCAGTCTTTCCAGTCCATCCTGCCAGCCCAGTTCCAGGTCCCATTTTGCAGGGTCCACTCAGGTGGCCATTCACTGCCTGCCACCCAAGTCAAGTTTTATATCATTCTAGCCATTTCCCCCCTATCCCTCAAATTCCGTATTCAATTTGTCAGTAAATTCTATGTTACTTCAAAAAAAAATTCAAATGAACTTCTCTCCAACTTGACTACACACCCTCAATGCACACTTCAGCCTCATATGAATTCTACAGTGGCCTCCTAAACACTCTCCCTGCATCCCCCCCAGCCCCACACGGGTCCATTTACCACAGAGCAGCTGGAATGACTATCAAAACACACACATCAATCAGATCGTGTGACTTTCCTGCTCAAAACGTTCAATGGCTTCCCATACCTCTTGGCACACATTCTACATTCCTTAGGATGGCAACATCTTGGTCCCTGATTCCTGTCTGTCTCTTCAGCCTTATCTCACAACCTCCCACCTTCCCCTCTCTTGCTCACCAAGTTTACTTTCCTGGCCCCTTTCAGTTCTGGGAAGAAGTCAAGCTCTTCCAGTCTCAGGGCCTTTGCACTTGCTGTTCTCTTTGCCCCAAAGTGTTCACACAACCCTGCCCTTGCCGCCGTATAGGTCTCAGCACAAATGGCGTCTCCTCAGGAAAGTTTTCCCTGAAACCATCCTTAGATAGATACTCACGGTTATTCTCTCTTTCCCCTGTTCCTTCCTTCCGGGCTTTGCTATAATCTGTGATTATGTTCCTTGTTTACTTGTTTATTGTTTTCCTTCACAAGACTAAGTCCAGTGAAGGTGGGAACCGTATTTATCATGTATCCTCAGTGCTTAGCACAGTATCTGGCACAAAGTAGGTGCTCAAGGGAATTCCCTGGCGGTCCAGTGGTTAGGGCTCCATGCTCTCACTGCGGATGGTCTGGGTATGATCCCTGGTCAGGAAACTAAAATCCCACAAGCCACGTAGTGTGGCCAAAAAAGGAAAAAGAGTAGGTGCTCAATAAACACTTGTTGAATGAATGAACAGAAAATACTTTCAAATATTAAAGAAAAATCTGCCTATTTAAAATTTCTACTGTTGATTCTAGTTCTGTTTTTGAAGGCAACATAAAATGATTCTATGGCTTTTTATACAGACATTTCAAATCTTTGATACCCTTCTTAGTCATCTGATTTCTGTGCTATACACACCTCTGAACCTTCCCTTGTCGGGCATGGCTTCCAACTTTCTCATCACAGTGTTCATTCTTTGTTGGAAGATACCAGTTTCACAACATCCCTCATTGAAAAAGCAGATGTGTTCTGACCACCACAGGGTCCAGTAGGACTCACCACCTTTGATGAGAATCATATCCAGCTTATGGATCTTTAGTTTTCAGGATCTGTTGTTTTTTCCCCCAATATATTGCAAAATAGAACATTTCCCAGGGTTTCTGGCATCTTTCCCTTTCTTTATGGTTTCTCAAACTGACTGCTATGAGATTATATCTGCAAATTCTTTTCGTACTCTGTAATATAATTTGTCTGGACCTGGAGGTTTGAAATAATCTGTATGCCTAGATTTTTCTTATTCCCTAAATTATTGTGGACTCCACTTTCCTCTTTTCATGGTCTCCTTTGCTGCACAATTAGAATTCAAAATCTATTCTCCTTGCTTCAGAAGACGGAATTTGAGTATTTGGCAACTTGGACATTTAGTTGCCTGTTAACATGACACTTTCTTCCTGGATGTGTCACTTCCTTGTTCTCCTCTTCCTCATTCTCTTCCTCCTTCTTCCTTTCTTTTTTTATGTTCTTTTACCTTATGTTCTCTCCCTTCCTCCTTTCCTCCTTTCTCTCCCTCCATCCCTCCCTTCCTTCCTCCTCTCCCAGACCATTCTCTCTCTCTGAACTGAATTTTTCATGGAAGACCTTTTTAATCACTTGTGTTTCTTAGATTTCCCATTAGCTGAGGCTTTAGCCTTCCTGAAAACCATCATTTTTTGTATTGGTTCTTGACTGTATGTCCCTCATGATCTCTCATGAACTGGTCCTTTAAAAAATATGAGTTCATGAGAAAGTTTTCTGTGTGGCCACGCTGGCTTACGAGTTTACTTTTCCTTTTCACTGGAATTCTTCATTATTACGTTGCCTTAGAATGTATGTAATCCTCCCCTTCCTTGCTATTATAGACTCCCAAAAGACATGGTCATGTTCTCCCAAGGTCCCTGTAATTTCTGTACGGAAACCAGTTCTTTCTCATTGGTTAAAATTATATCCAGAATGGCAGTTCCTCCTTCTGTCTGAGAGCTGAAATTGTTAGCTAGGAATGTTAAAAAATTTTTATAAGCAACTCTATTTTAGCAAACTGTGAATTCCAGCAGACATAAAGATAGCTCAAGTCCCCATCCCCGTGATTGCTCGCTTGTAGTTATGTGGTCTGCCTTCAGAAAGCCTCATCCCTGCTTGGGCCATCCATGGTAGAGGCTCACCCCAGAAGGACCCTTGTTTGTATTCCTCCTGTAATTCTATCCTGCTTCCACTCTTCCTGAGTGGCTTTCTGGAAGCCACAGGACCGTGGCATCTTTTGCATCTCTTTTTCATATATAAGGCTATTTCTTCCTGCTTCTTTTGAACCTGCTGCTTCCTTTTCCTGCTGCATTTCAGGCAGGTGACTCATCTCACCTGCATGAGAATGGTCACGCTTATGTTAACATTCCAAGTTCTCTTTCTTTACATCCCGTCCTCTGTGAATCAAAGTCAGAAATCTTTTAGCAGGTAAGGGTTTTTCCTGATGAGTTTCTCTCATTTTCAACTAAGGATTAGGTATGAGGTACCACCTGTAGTGTTCCATTCATTTCTCCAGATTGTCCCATTCTTCTCACCCTTGATTCCCATTCTCCTTCATCCCTTCAGAAGACTTTCCCTATGACTTCCCTAGTCTTTTTTGGCTAATACTCTTGTGTATGGAAAGGTGTTCCTCCAGGAACTCTGTTGGTTAGGGTGATTAACTTTGGAATCAGGTTATGTTTGAGAGCTGGTTCTGCCACTAACTAGCTGTGTGATGTGGGGCAAGATACTTAACCTAAGCCTCATTTTCCCCAGCTATAAAATGGGAACAATTATAGAACTTACCATTTAGGGTTGTCATGACTAAATGAGATAATCCACGCAAAGCACCCAACCCAGCACTTGATGCTTAGCGAGGGCTTCCAAAGTTGTTGTTACTATTACTGGTGACATTGGTAATTTCGTTCACCCTGTTGCCCTCTGCAGCCCTGGGTCAGGAGAGAA